GTTGGAGGACAGTAAATAATGATGACTCCTCCTGGTCATTCATCAGTTTGCAGTCTTTTCTCATCCTTCCTTCCCACCAGTCATTTTCAGACTCTAAGCAACATATACAGTCTATAGGTTACCATAATATCAAGGCTCCACCTGCACATGGACCGAAGCAAAGTGTGACAAGTGATCTTTTGTTTAAATTCGGTGCTGTCATGCCTGCTTGGATCCTCATCTGCACACAAGAGCCTGATAAGACAGATGAAACAGAGAGAGGCTACAAATAAATACACATGATGATACATCAGTCTGGAGTGAAGGTGACACAGTAGGTGCTGAGCCAAGGCAAAACACAACATAAACAGGTTAAATAATTAGGCAGTCATTTTGACTGGGTTTTGTTTCCGCTAGCCAGCAGATGCCTTTGATGGATCACAGTGTACTTTTACTCAATGTAAATGGCATTAAGAGGTGATTGCTCTGTTATGCCCTTAAGGTTTAACAGATGCTTTATACCCAGCTGCATGGAACAATCACTGTGTATGCTTCTTATGAAGCAGCTAGTCAGATTATCTGCAGATAACAGCATCTATACAATGCTTTAACATCTAAGCATACAGCAGGAAGGAAAAGGGCATAGGGGAAAATCCCCAAAAACACAACTAGAAAACCCTAGTCTCATTCTTCCTTTCACAGGTTGTGCCAGCCATGCCTGTACCATTGCCAAGGCAAATTTTGGCTGTGTCCACTAAGGAACAGCCTCAGACAGACCATTTCAAGAGAGGCCCATATGCCCCTGGCTGCAAGCAGAGCTGCTGAAACAGTGAATATGATCACGTGCAAGCAGTAACAAAACACTACCTTACAGAATTTGTTAGGAGCAACGGATGGCCATGGTGTAAAGTCAGTTCTCTTGCTAAGCTGCCACTGCTGAAACTCCTCAAAAATGAATGGGTCTTTTATATTTTCTTATTTTATCATTCATATTCACCCTGTGGTGCCAGCACAGTCAGGATCTATAAACTCTTAATTTCCTCCAATCATCCTTATCACCAGAAGATTGTTTTCTGAAAGTAAACATAAAATGGCAGAAGGGTGAGCAGAGATAAATAGATCAAGTAGTTGACAAAGCTATAGAGGCATCCACAGAGCAACTTCCCTGATTTAATATTTCTGCTTGCAAAGACAAAACAATCAGTGTGAAAGAACAGAGCATGTGATGAATTCTTGGTAACTGATACAGAGCAAGACTTCTAATCACATTTTCACTAGATTTCAGAGTGAAATACCATGCCTCATTATATGCAACCTGTAACCTTCTCTTATTGAAGGACGCTTTGAGAGCAGGAAGGGTAAGAGGAAAGCACATTTACTAGCAAGTGTGTGGAAATAAGCACCTACACAAACTGGCTTTTATCTCTATTTCCTTCCTTGAGGTTCCCTCACTATCATGACACATTTCATAGACGTAAGAATGACCAAGACTTGGACTTTGTTATACTATTCTGCTATCTATTGAAATAAAGTCTAGAAGTAGCCAAAAAGTTAAAGCTATCCAATTATTCTGTGGATTAAATTCTATTCATATATGCTCTTAGTCCAGGAAGATTTGTGAGCTCATTTCCCACAGATATCAGTGGAAGATTACTTTGGCCATTTTTCCTTGTGGTAGCACACCAGATTGTATTGTGTCTGACAACATTCTTCCCCTCTCCTGCTCTAAGATTTTTTCATGATATCCTACAAATGCCACCTCCATTACAACTGTTGGAAAGCAAAAACAAAATAAAAAACCAAAACAACCCATAATCTTTCCTCACCTTTCCATCCCACGAGTTTTTCCTGTTAATTACACTGTTACTTTCTATAAATATCAGATCCTGCACAGCCTTCCAGTTTCTTTAGAGAGTGCAGGGCAGTTATGCTGGTGCCTGAATGATACAAAATAACACCCCAGGTTTACTAACACTGGCAGTAATTCATGGGACTGCAGGTTAGAAATCTCTGAATCAAATAATACTGCACAGGAAAATCTGTTCCACTAAATTCCCCATTGTAAATGCATGAGTTGAACAACAACCTTTTCTCATTTCCCATAATTGGGAAGTAAGAGTGGATATTGTTTATGCTCAGACTGCAGCAGGTAAATGCTTAATATTAATAAAAATGTCATGTGTATAACCACAGCTTCTATTTCCAATACAGCATTTTGTTCACTGCTCTCTCATTTCATAGTGGACACAAGATTACATTAAAAGATTCTGAAAATGTAACAAAAAAATTCAATTGTCTGACTCATGCTTTAGGTAAAGGAAACCAGATAAAGCAACCTGAAAAGGTAAAAAAAAAAAAAAATACAAAAAAAAACCAAACAGGAAATGATTCGGGAGAGAATGAGAGAATTTGAGCACCACCACGGCCTGAATGAGATTAGCTGGAACAACAGCACCATCCCCTGCCCGCATGGCAAATGGCACAGGCACGGAGAAAATGACACTCCTGTCCCATTCGGGAAATGGGAATTCAACTCACTCCACCGACACCCACAGCAACTGGAGCTGTAACTACAAGCACTAAAAGATGAAACAAGGCTTTCCACTTAGCTCTGTTTCCTCATTATAGTGACACTTCTTGAAGACACAGCTAGAAGAAGCCTAGTGTGGTTTATGTGCAGCCACTCCATGAGGTTTCAGTGTTTTGCAGATACAGAGCAAGACTTCTATTGACATTTTCACTAGATTTCAGAGTGAAATACCATGCCTCATTATATGCTGCAAAGCTGGAGTACAAGGAGTGCTGCATGTCCCCTGCCCATCAGTTGTTGGAACAGGAACAAAGCCACATGCCAAAAGCTTTACCGAGACAAGGAGGTGAAGCCTTCCCACTTTCATTTCAGAAGTGAAAGTCAGGATGAATTACAGACATTGGGCAGGTGAGTCACCTACCAAGTGGTGTTTAGTCACCTTCCATGTACCTATTCCAGGTAAGCTATCAAGTGGCATTTCCAGAGGACACCAGAAATACCCCAACACCACCAAAGCTGTGACCCACCACTCCTCGCTGTAATGACTCGGCAGTTCTCTGACTCCTAGATGAATTCGACACTAAACCAAAGAGAAGAGTTACTGCTCAGGTTATTCATGCATAACATTGCCTTTCAGCATATACTTGAGTAACTGGATGCCCACAGCAATTCCAGCTGTCAGGGAGTTGAAGTGGGATAAAGAAACAAAATGAATAGCACTTATGAATCTAAACCAAGCAAAACCATAACCTGATATGCATCGATAACAAAATTGAGGGAAAAGAAATTGAGTAAAGAAAGTAATGATTTCCTTTTCCCCCAGACACATCAATGATTAACTATTGCCACAGAAGAAGTAATTAATTCATTGGTAGCTGTAATTTAAAGCTCTCTTAGCAATGTACTGTACTGAAGATTCCACATGTTGTATTCCTAAAGGGATTGCTACATAGTAAATGCTACAAATATTGCACTTAAATTAACTTCTTTACATGTTAATTAGACTTCTTGGAGTAAGAAAGGTTCTCAGATTTTGTTTTCTCTGTTTAATTACTTCAAAAGGGAAATGCACATATTTTTGCCCATTTGCATCTCAAAACTTTCTGCAGATGACTGATACCATACTGACCCCTAACAACTCCTGGTCAGAGTCACTGCTTAGAAATTCTGTAAGTAATTTGGTCATTCCATTTAAATCATAAGCATCAGGTGTCTGACACAGGTCAGACTCTGCTGGAATAGCTTCACATGTGAACCAAAAATATATAAAAGAACTGAAAACAGATCATGAAGATCAGATGGTGCTTTCCTAAGAAATCTAAACAAACCGAAGAAAGCTGAAAAATTAAATATAGGGTCTAATCTCTAAAGGAGTAGAAAGCAATGCCTTAAAGATTTTTGTACATGATTTTGCCTTGGCAAATATTAAATCATTAAAAAAGGAAAAAAGATAAAAATCATAACCACCAAAAACCCCCAAAACCTCTTGTTATTCCAAGGTATTTCCAAGGCACTGGTCATACCAAGCTTGCAGTGTGTGCAGCTGCCACATCATTCCCAGATGAGTAGCCATAAATTAACAATCCTTGCTAACACATTTGTAAAGGCTCCACAAAAAGCAGAACTGACAAATAGTGACAATACATTTCAGCAAAGGGAAGAAAACATCTGAACACAACATAATTTATTTTCTTCTGCATACTTTACACTGAAAACAAAGCACTTATAGCAAGAGATTATGACAGTACTAACTTAGAATTACAATGTAAAAAAATTTCATCTTTCCATTTATTCAACATGAAAGTTATAAAGCTCTTAACCTGTGAAGAATCAGTTTCAGAAGGACTATTAAAGGTGCTATTTCTGCAGCTGATGTATGTGACTGACTGATAAGCCAAGTTTAGAGCCATGGTGTTCAGACCTTACCAAGGCATGAAAGAGAAGCCTCTTTATTCTCCTTCACACACATCAATTTGATTTTCAGAGCCAGTCATAAATGCTGAACCAAAGCAGAGAATTCAAGGCAGCCCACAAAACAGGCTGGTGCTTCTCTCACCCTTCACTCTGCTCCCTGATAACCTGAAGGGAGGGGTGCTTCAACTATCCTCTTTTCTCATAAAATCCCTGAAGAATAGATCCCATCTCTTCTTCACCTGCTTCCATCCCAGACAACCTTGACTGGCCCTAAAGTGCAGCACATCTGCTCTACTTTGGCCTTGCACAGCAACTCTCCTTCCTTCCCAGCTCCAGCTTTAGAAGAGGATAAAAACACAAAGCAGCACAAAGTGAGAATGAAATGCCCAGCAAGCACCAATATTTTGGTTTTCCAACTGTAGTGAGCAATGGCATCACCACAACATCCATATCCTAGGCTAGACATGAATATGGAAAGCTTCAAAGCACCAATAATACCAACAGTCTGAGACAATGAAATTATATGAAAGGGAAAATATATGAAAAACATTAAATTAGATTAAATACCACATACAACTGTGATAAGAGGGGAAAAATTTATTGGTCCTTTAGATTTCCAATGATTGCTTGTAATATGTTCAGCAAATTCATTCCAATATTACATACAAAGGATTTCCTTGCTTGCCATGTTAGAACTAGCTTAATACTCAGTGGAAATGAAAGGAATAAAAAGCAATTTGTATTTATTGTGAAATACATTATTATTTTTTCCTATTTCAGCAAAACACCTGTTAAGAACTGGGTTCTGTGCTCAGCACCCACCTTCCACGAAGGTGACTCCCACAGATCACAGAAGGCACTTGAAATTCCTGGAAGCTGGGACTTGGGGAAGAGGAGGGATAACAATAAGCTCCTTTTTACTAAGTGCAATCCTAGTATAAATTCAAGCAGCCACAAAGCATTAAGATACAAAACCTCAGGCAGACATGCTAATGAAGGGCTGCAAAGCTGGAGGAACAAGGAGAGCTGCATGTCCCCTGCCCATCAGTCATCGTCTCCGCCACAGAGGAGCAGCAGCGCTTTCCTGTAGTCCCCAGACGTGTCTTTCTGTCAATGCAGAACAGCAGCACCATGAGTCACCAGAGTGGTTGCCAACGAGGGCCCCAGCACATTACACATTCATCCCACCCACAGGAAATCCACAAGGATGACTCTCTGCTCAGGAATGACACAAGGAAATTCTCTGCCTCTTACATGAGAGCTGTATTTACACAGACTGCCAGAGACAAAAAACCTTCAAAAGCTTTACTAGAAAACAGAGCTGCCCGTTGCACATTTAACACATTTGTCTGCAGGGGGAAGTCCAAAGGAGGAGCCCAAAGAACATCAAAAGCAACATACGGGCAAAGTGCACCCGCCTAGAAAGGTGCCAGCTCTGCTCCCTGTAATCAATGGGAAGCTCCGATACGAAATCCATATGGGCCTGACAGGCAATGCCAAAAAGAAACTCCACCCAGGGACCATAATGCCAAGAATGACCATAGAAAAAATCATAAAAAGCAGGACTTTTAATATAAAACAAGAGAAAAAAATAAAAGCCTTTTGGCTTAACTTTGCAGCAACAGCTGGCTCCGGATTTCTTGCTGGTTCCTTCCCTTCCTGCTCCTTCCCATCCACTCAAAGGAAAGTATGACTCAGAGTGGTTCCACAGTGAAACCCTTTTCACTTGGACAAGTTGCAAAGGGTTCCACACCACAACCCAAGATCTAAACTTCAACATCATGCTAATTCAGACTCCCAACCCCAGCATTATTTCTCTGGAGCCAGCACCCCCTCTGAAGCACTGCACAATAAGGAACCCAGACAAGAACAAGGAAATGATGCAGTAGCTAAATATGGTGTATGAGTAATTGCAATTTCAGAAAGCCACATCATCTGCCCTAGTGAACACTGGAAGGAAACTTTTTTCCATAGGATGTTTCCCCTACTTCAACAATACCATGTCAAAACTGCAGAGGAACTCAATCTCAGAGCCCAGGTCACCCAGCTCTACCCACACCCACCCTCTGCCAAGAAAAACAACAGTGAAAACAGTGACATCTCAATCACCCCTGCTTTCCCTGAGGCCAGAACAGTAATTTTACCTGAATCGTTTGATACAATGATTTCGCAAAATTCTTTCTGAATTCTCGTCTAATATCCAGCAGATCAATTTCACTTCTTGAAACCATGACTCTGATCAGGGTGTCATCATCAGTGCCAGCCCCCTAAAGAGAAAAGATCAAATAACTTTCAAATATGAGCCAGTTCTGTACAGATGCTGCAACAAAGCGTGAAATACAAAAAAACTATGGAACAAGATGAAAGCAACAAGTGGCATCTCAAACCACTCCTGAATTACAGTTCAGCTCCAAAACAGAATACTCAGGACAGTATCATGAGACATTCACACTGAAATGTGGAGAACAGAGGAGCTCTGATCCCTGGACCTCTATCAAGTGCCAGATGCTCAGGCCTCTTATTTAATGTTTCATCTCAGGCTTCAACTGTGAATGCCCACATAAATTTAAAAGACCCCAGTTCCAAGCTCACACAGAAGCACAGCTGCCCACCACAATCATGTGTAAATCCCCCCTGCAGTGCACCCTGAGGCTGCAGAACTGCAGTCAGTTCTGGAACTGGGCACCTCAATTCCAGCAGTGACCAGTACAAAGCAACATCATACAGCAGGACACAGGCAGAGCAACTAATCCCATGAACTCTCCAGCTGTTCATTATGGGAGCAAAGCTTCACAAACCTTTTCCAACCACACAAGCATGCCACACTCTGTCATCTTCAGTGCTTGAAGCATTTCACCTTCCTGTGCAGACCAAGGCCCTGACCCCTCTGCTCAGACAAAGCAGACTCCACACAAGCTGAAGCTGTGCAAACTTTGACGTGCTAACCTGCAGATGCACCTCAGGGAAGGACTTGGCAGAGCTCCCACGGTCATCTTCAGCCTAATGTCCAGGGACACTCAATCCTTCTGGGTGCAATATTCTTGGATTACACCTAAAAATGCCCTAAAGCTGCTCAAAAGTTATGCCACAAGCCCAGTGTTTTCTGAGGAATAAAAGCCAAGTTCTGCCCTACCTATAATAATGAAAGCAAACTCTGTTCAGTGCAGAACCTTGTTATGCCAAACTGATAAATTGTGGAAGTACAAACTCCTCTGTCAAAGTAATAATTGACAAAAAGCTTTCTCATCTGAAGTGTTGAATGATTTTTATTTACAGTAAAAAAAAAAATTGGGAATCTCACCAGCACACATTGGTCAGTCTCCTCACAACAGAAGTGTATAAGAATCTAAAGCCCACAGGAAAATTGCATGTTTTAAAAAATAAAAGTCCTCCTCAGACAGCTCAGCCTACTGATACAATATTTTGTATTTTTCACCTGAACCTTATTCTACACAGTATCTACAGAAGCAGTACAGTACTTCTAAAAATTAAACTATCATTTTGTTTCTCATCACTAACTCTCAAGCTGTCACCTCATCTTCTGACAAACACACTTCAGAGCTCTCCAGCAAGGGGAAGGCAGGAATTCCTCAGGGAAGCTGATAACTTGCCTGGAAACAACAGACTACTTGCCTCTGGTTCAATTAATATTACCCACTGGGAGTTAAAAATTACAGTTTTCCCTGCTCATCTCTTCCCATCCAAGAGAAGGTGAAGCAAACAGAAACATGGATGCACTGCTAATGCAATTCCCATGAGTAATCTTTTGCAGCTGTTTAAGCCTTTCTTTTCTCTGCTTCCTTTTGCTTCTCAAAGAAGGATGGATAGTAACCAAAATGTGTTTCCAAAGCTACCTAATGCCCTCCATCTGCAACTACTCACATCCAAATGAAAGAGCACTAATTTGCACAATCTACATTCTTCCCTTCCTCAGTACATTCACCACCTAAAGACACGAGTTTCATCAGCTGGGAAGCACCCAATGAATACTGTCAGACATTTTCCAGTGTAGCAGCACCAAATCAAAAAACAGCTGATGAGACTAAAATGTCTGTGATGTGACAAACCCACAATGAACTCCAAGGAAACTACAAATTGTTTGCATCCTCTCCCAGCCCTGCACTCCCTGAACCTTTTGTAGATACTTAGTGATACTGTCAGCATTTACAGTGACAGAAGAGCAAGCTAAAGGGAAAGGAATTGTATCTGGAGAAGATGGAAAGTGACCCAGGGAAAACATTTACATACCTTCATGGAATAATACAGGGTCTCAGCAAAATAGGCAGGCACACTTCGGATGCATTTCACTGGAAAATAATTCAAATGATTGAATTATTGACTGCTATTAAATAAAGGGCCATCTCTGATTGCCAAGACGAGGTGTGTGTCACTGTGTTATTCTCTCCAGTGGTGTAATCTGGTCTGTTCTTCTGCTACAACTCTTTGGGTTCTGGGATTTAGAATAAGCATTTATTTCTGATAGCAGAGAGACTTTACTAGTCAAACTCTCCAACACTGTCCTAGATAAGCTGCCAGGAATACAAGTGAAGACAGTCTCAGCTCTGGCAGAGCTGCACATGACCAAAAAGAATGCAGTTCACCACCTCTTCTCCAGACATAAAAATAGATCCCAGGTGATTACCTTCCTAAAGGAACCCTGTTTTCACACCAGCCTCTGTGACAACTGTAATTTCAGGAGGCCTGGGAGTAAGCAAAGGCAGCCTAGTGCTAGACACATAAGGACTCAATTACCCACTGCCAGAAGTAGCTTCTCCAAATCACCAGAGGTCTCCCGGTCAATGGTCTCTTCAATCTGGAAGCCAGAAATTGTCATGTACTTGTCAAACACTGCAAAACAAAGTGTGCTCCATCAGGGAATGCCCAACATTCCTGCCAGTGCCCCTCAGTTCAGGACAATGCCACCTGTGTGTCATTATCCACAGGTCAGGTGATATTGGCCACTCACTGCCTTGTTCTGAGCACCAATTTCCCATCAGATGCCCCTTGTACAACCCTTCCCTGCACCTGGAAGGAACAGCTCCATGCATTATTCCCAATGGCCCAACCAGATTGGTAAAAGAGACTTCTGGATGGGCAAGGAGCAGGTGAAAAGGTATTGTCCCTCTATCATCAACTCAAAGTAGGCACCTCGATATGGGCTTAGCTTTTCCAGGCTGGATTTCAGGCACAAGCTCTCAGCCCCTCATTAACCACACTACCTACCCCTCCTCAAGTGAGAAACACTGCGGGTTCCCAAGATAGTGATGAACTTTTCTTCATCTGTTCCCCACTTCAGCTCCCCAGCTCTGAACAAAACCTGTTATGAATTTAAGAGAACAAAACATCAGCATTTGTTTTGTGTCCATGCATCCTGTTGAAAAGTTCTATTTGTCTCACTCTAAGGAGCAATAAATTTACTAACAAGCTATAGCTGGAGGGGAAAAATGAAATTAAATTGCCAAGTACTGAATCTCAGAAATAAATGAAAAAAATCTGACATTTACTTGTGACAGCATTTCCATGAGTAATGCAACTTCAGGCCCAGAAACTGACTGTGCATAGTCCTCTTCATACAGACTGAAGTTTGCTGAAACTGTGATAATACAGCAGATAACATTTATTCACATAACTGCCTTTTCTGCCCTTTTTTTCTCTTCCCTTTTTCAAACAGAGCAGCAGAACTTTGGTACATGATGGCTCTTCAACAGCAGAACCATGCCAACCTGGCTCAGGAGGAAGTTTTTCAAGAAGGAGGGGAAAATGGATCTAGAATCTCTCAGAAAGAGGATTTGTAGGCTGATAAATTCTTAGCGGCTTGAAACCAGATTTTAGCCACGGTTTTAGCACATTCATGGCTTTTCAGGCAAGTCTGTATGTGATGCAGACAAACACCTGGGTACATTTTCAGCACCAGGAAAGTAAAGCACTTTAAAATGTTGGAATGAGAAGAGACAACAGAAAACAAGAAAGAACAAGAAATCTGGAAAAAGTCCCGACAGTTGGGAAACTTTGCCTTTTTCCTAACTGTGTGCTAAGCACTCTGTAATGAAAAAGGTTGTACATATTGTAGTATATATGATATTTTCAATATTAATGGTATAGAATGAAAAAAAGTTGGAGAGGAAAAAGCTCAAGGCACTCACTGCCAGGATATTTATTACAAATAACATATGCTAAGCCCTCCAAATGAATACCAGCACTCTCCATCCCATAGCAAATGAGAAGTCCCCAGTACAGCATTTAGAAAAATACCAGCAAAAGATTGATTTAGAGACACTAGAAGTTGCAAATAGAACTTTATGTCAGCTTTAAGTGTGTATCTGCCTGACACTGGGCAATACACAAAATATACCTCAATGTATGACTTTCAAGAAATAGCCACAAAATCTTTTCCAAAAAGTCAGACTTTCTCCTTCAGACATTCTCCGAAAAGCGCCAAAATTGCTTTAAATTAATATTTAGTAATCATAGACACAAAAAATTGAAAAATCACCACTGAGGAAAAAGTTTGCCTTCTAATGTATCAAGTCCTTTCCAGAATATATGACTCAAGAAAAACACTGGGAAGCCAAAAATACTCCTAACATCTGCACAGTCATGTACCTCAGTTCTGGCTATCTGTACGTGGAAATAGCAATTAGAAAATAACTGAATCTGTTCCAACTGTGTTGGGTGGTGAATGGAAAGTCTATTGACTGAAGGTCCCAGCCCAAGTTAAATGTATGCAGCAAGCCACAGAGACTGTTTGGAAAACCAGGACCTTTTCAAGAGCTGGGTTTGGTGCCTCCCAAGTTTAGCTGCTCATTTAAACTCAATTAAAGGGGCCAAAGAAATCTATCTAGCTACCAGGGCCAGTGCTTCACGTCTTTCCTCAATAACACAGGGCCAGCTAAAAGCAAGACTGAAAACTTCATGGAACAGTCTAGATCAAGATTCAAACATTTGTCCCTCTAATTTTCCAGCTGTAATTGTCCCCGGAAGTTAACTTTAACAGCAGAACAACAATGCTTTCTGAATTTAAGTGACAAAGGATAGGTCTGTGCCAGTAAAATGTAATTTGCCACTCTGTTGCTCCATCTGGCTGTGCTATCAGAAGAATGCTTTATTGATCTGATAGTATGGGTTTACTCTGCATCACCTTGAACAATCCCTGTATTTCTTTCATCTCAGCAGACAATTTATGAGAGAAAAATGTCTTATGCAGAGTTGTTGAAATAGCTAAGAAGAAACATGTACTAAATGAGTTGTAACCAAATCACTGCAATAGTGACCATCATTCCAACAAAGCAAATGACACCCAGCAAGAAACTGTCAAGGACACTGATTAACTGCTGGAATTCCTTTCAATCCAGAGCACAGGGCTAGGGAGCAGTCATGGACAAGGGATTAAATTCAGAGAGAAGTCCAGGTCAAGTATTAAGCAATGAACGGTTAACATCTGAGTTTTTCCAGCAGTGCTCATCAAACCTCAGCCTCTCTTCCAATGATCTACTCGCTGTTTTATTCAGGTCCCTCATTAAGTAATAAGCAAAACTGAAACATCAAAGTGCAGTAAGTTTTGATCACAGTATTTCAGGTTTTGACACTTCTTTTGTCCAGAATATGTAAAAAAAAAGCACAAGAAAACATGTAAAAAAAAAACCACAGAGAACCTTTACTATCACTCTTTCACATTTGAATTCCAGCTGCTTGCCATCTTTAGAGGTAACTCATAGAATTACCCCAAACCCTCAGTCAGTGACCCACCTGAGCATCCTGCTCAACAAGAGCCTCATCAACTCCAGCATCAGGATCTCTGTTTGCCTAAACAGAAATTCAGAAGTTGTTAAACTGAATAATTAGAAGTCAAAAAGCATTTCTCTGTTATATTGAGCCTGTAAGTTACTGTAAAAAGTCATCCCTAATGCATCTTCTCCAAAACCATCTTGTTTTTCCCTTTTGCTTGCATGTGTCTGTATGAAGTAAGGGTCCTCTTCCCCTTTTGCCCTCAAAACCCTACACAGCAGCACCAGCTACACCCATGGGCATCACAGAAGTGTTTTGCTTCAGTAATATAGAAATTACTCTGAAGAGAGCCCAAGGCTGACCCTGCACACCAGAGGAAATGCCTCAGCTCCAGAGCCAGTCCTGCCTAGCACTGGGCCCAGCTTAGTACGCAGGAAGTGGTAAGTGCACCTAGCAGTGAAAGTCAACCCACAACAGGACACCAACCTGCAGCAGCACCACCAGCAGCCTCTGGAAATGGCCTGATGTTTCTCCTGTGATCTTATCCTCCAGGTCAGCTTCATACTCTGCAAAAGAGCAACATCCACTCACCACCTTGCAGGCTCCCTCACTATTTCAAGGGGAGAGCAAGGAAAGGCAAAAGTCCATTTGACTCACAATTTGTAGACTCATCTTTAACACTCAGGACATATTCTGCTTTTACTTACAATATAACACTACTCTAAAAACGGAAAATAGAGCACCTCACACCTCATGTCAGGAACAGACTACAGTATTTTGAAGTACAAGGTGACATGCATGGATTCAGCTCCTTAAGGAACTAAAGAGGACACAGACATCAAGTCATGCTAAAATATGGCAGCCGCAATGTACAAAAACCAAGAGCCCAGAAAAGTCTGCTACTAATAAACTTCACTCCAGAGGCTCTGTGTTTGGGCTCAAAATTTATTAAAATGTGAGAATTTCTTGTGTGGCAGGAATCTGCACAGAGCTAAAAGACATCTGTTGAATTTAACATTGCCCTGAAAAACAAGCCCACAATCACAGGGTAAAAGCATCTACCCTTGTGAACGGCCAAAAGCTGCACCTGCTTTAGCATAAGTGCACTTGAACACAACATAGAGCAGAAGGAAAAAAAAAGTAACTTTTTTTTATGATATAAGTTTTGTTTCAAATTACTGAAAATTGCCTTTCAGTCAAAAAGTTGAAAACAATGGGTGCAGGAAATACATACTTTTGAAAGAATTCTAACTATAAAGCATGAAGCACCACAATCTGTACAATAAGCCTGAAATAAAAACTATTTCAATTTCCAATTCAAATTCTAGTTCCTTTCAATATGAAGTTCTGCAACACAGCAGAAAGAATTCCCTCTTATTGGACACATCCATCACTTCAGAGATAGACCTTATTTGAAAGATGAGCTAAAATCATATAAAAGGAACTGAACAGAGACCCTTATTTTATACAGAAAATTACCTTGCTGATATACTTGTTTAATATTCTGCACTTCTGCAGGTGTTCTGGAGGCAAGAATTTCAGTCAACACTTTCTCATTGGTTCCTGCTCCCTGCAGGGGTGCAAGTATGAATCAGTTGATGGAATAACAAAAGGAAAACAAGAAATCCCTTTGACAGTCAAAACCAAGCATAAATTTATACATTTGGATCAAATAAACAGAAAATATTTTCTTCTTTCTGATATACTGTGGGGGTTTTGAAGATAATCTGGGAGAAATTATCTTGATTGTTTTCAAAACCAGCCCAACAATTCATAGAAGTCCAGTGCTGCAGGATTCAGAGGGGCCCTTCCACACTCAAGCACAGCCAGGTGTGCCTCAGTTCTTTGCTATTACGACCAAGGACATCAAGAGAAGTGAATGGAGTAAGCTTGCATCTTAGCTCCAATTCATACAGTGTCTGTGACCAGCCAGGACATAGATAAGCACAGAGCCACCCAGCACAGATCTGCAGCCTGCTATGACCTGTGCTGTTAAACAAGCCCCTTCTTCCACTGCAAACACACTTTACAACAGAATTGCTAACCCATATAGTTCCAGCAATCCTGCAGTTCTTAATGACTGCAGAACCAACAACCACTGTTCCACTTTTACAAGGATAGAATTTACAAAAGCCAGGCCAATATCTTGTTTCCACAAGTCTAAGCCCTTGTTTGCAGGAATAATCCACTGCTCTTTACACATAGAAAGGAGCCATTTCACAAAAGCAACACTGAAATGCAATACTGAGCATTTTTTGCTTCAGCATGTTATTTACAACCTTTCCTGCAAGGAAAATATTGAATACTAATCACATACAAAGATATGCAACTGCACACAAAGCTATCCAGAATACAAACCTGCCAGGTTACAGGCAATCATTTCCAAAATGCAGATTGTTTCATGAACATGCCTACTCAACGAGGGATGCGGGCAGAGTTAAACTCACTCTAATCCAAGTAGCAGCAGTGAAAATGGATGGGACAGGCTTCAGCACAGAGTTAGTGCTCTTAGCTGAGTTACCTTGCAGTGCAATCCCCACCATCACATCTGCTTTACTGCTACTCCCCTTGGCTGAACTGCAGCCAGTACTGACATCCGTTCCTGTGCAAACACATTCTCTGCATTTCCATGGTCTTGGGTTTAACATCTTTTTTTTTAGTGACAAGAACAAAACCACTCTTGTTTTCACTATCTCTACTTTCCCACCTACACCCATCTGTTCTGTCATTTCCCTGTCAGTCTTTGACTCCTAAATCAATAAGAGGAGCTTGGGAATACAATTTTTAAATTCATCAACAAGGCCTTTATCAGTTTCTCTGCCAGGTACCACCATCCCTTCCCCCAGTGCACACAAAAGCATTACAGAAAACCTCCAGGAACAAAGTTTCTGTCACCTGACTATTTTCTGGGTCACAGGTGCATGAGCACTTGCTTGCACAGTTGACTAAAGCCTACATATTAACCAGCTGCTCATCCAGGATCTTGGGAGTTTGCATGGAAGTGTCATTCCACAAAGTACTACCTCACACTAGAGTCAAGTTCAGTGTCCTCTATTTTGATCAATACTGTAAATAGTCCAGGGACATCCAAGTCCCGAAATTCCACAGATGTGACAGAGGCGGGAAAAAAGAGCACATGGAAGAGGCACTGAAATTTCTACACATCCACATTGTAAATTGTTTGCTTACCTGGCCTGCTCAGAAAGGCACTAAACGCACTCACAAAAGAGAAAATTTAGAAGGGTAACACTGACAGGCCCATCAATTATTCCCTCTGTGTTACTGAAGGCAGTTTTTTAGAGGTCATTCTACAGACAATACCTGCTCATAACTTTGGTGGACACCAGTTTACACAAGCTCATCAATTTTGGACTTGCACTGCAATCCATCAGGGTAACACACTCTATAGCTTAAATAACAGTCAAGAAGAAACAAAGAGCTCTGCACTTCTGTTAAATGCTCTGAACTAATTTTTATACAGCTGCATAGCTATAAAACCTTGGCTACTCACAGCAGAAAAATCAAGAGCCCTCTGGACTTCAGCACTGCACTTGAACAGCAAAAAATATGAACAGCAACTGCACATCTACACACTGTATTTAAACCAGAAGGAACAATTCTTATGCTGTGTAGATTTCTAAACTGTCTCTGAGTTATTAGAGTGAAAAACCCCCAGGCAAAACCATGGCACTGGCAGTGGTCAGCATAACTTGGCTAATTTTTGGTTTTTTAAGCCTACTTCTATTAGCACTCCCTTTAGCAACAGAAGTTCATTCCTAAACAAAAAAAATCAACCAAAAGCACCAATCATTTCATGTAACACATGAATTCTGCCTCCTCTTACCTTGATGGCATGCTTCAGTGCATGAGCATCAAAAATATACGCTGGTCTCATCAGAGACACCATCAAGGTTTCAAACTTGCCAGTAAGTTCTGATTTCAGGTCATCCACAAGATCCTAGTGCAGAACAAACAGTGCTGTGATGAACAAGGACTAAGCATTTTAAGAGGCACATGAGCCTGCAAGCTGAAAGGCCCTGGTGACACAGCAAAAAGACAAGGAACACCTCTCTTTTTCTTATAATTGGTACCTCAGCTGAAGCAAATAAGGCAGGACAAAAGGATGAACAGGCATTTTGAAAACCTGAAATGCATTGTGGTTTTTTGGTTTTTTTTTTTTTTTTAGAATAAGGCAGGGTGGAGGAGAGGGGGAGACAGAAGCAAAAGTATATTTTCTTGCAAGGAATGTTTTACAGGCAATATGGTCAATGTGCCTCATAGTTTAAAGTAATTCTTCTAAGCCAGAACCAGCTCATTTCCAGAGGTATTTTTTCTTCTTCTTACCCTGCCAAATAAGGTTTTAAAGGCAGAAGCTATTTCTTGACGTTGAGCATTGTTTCTGGTGGTGAGGATCGTCAGCACAGTTTCTTCATCAGTCCCTGAAGTTTAGAAAGAATGAGTTACAAACACTCTGACAAACAAACTACAGTGGCACAAACTCAAAAGGCAGTGAAAGATGCTTTGACAACAACAGTCTACTGGCAAACAGCAGAAACATTTAAAATAACAAATGTCAGCATACCCCAAGCTGAGCCACCAAGTTTGGTACAAAAACATGACTGGAAGACTAACATGCTGTTTGTTCTCCATCTGATCCAGACTCTGCTCCAAGCACCAGCTATAACATTTAGTCAGTCTGTTTTCATAGACAGAACTTGCCTTTGGGATCACCAACACACTGCCAACTCCCAGCACAACTCAGTCCAGCAATCCAAAACACCCCAGAGGGCAGCAGCATTGAGCTATTACCCATTTTATATACAAACTTTGCAAGGTAGGTCCTCCTAACACAGCATCTTCCCAGCCCTAGTGAGCATGCCTGTAGGCTGAGGTGTATCACACATCCCTCCTTCCCTTTCTTCTGCTTCCTTCCACTTCAGAGAAAGCAGAAAATGGGGGTTTGTTCTCTCAGGAAATTCTGGGGCAGAAAGGCCCAGTGTGGGTTCACAGACCAATTAATCTGCATTCACACCGTGGGCTCGCATTCTCCCTGCCCCAGTAACTGCACTGTGCTCACACATTTCCAGGCCCAGGAGGCTGCTGCATGTTTCCATGCAGAGTTCTCACTATGCTGCTGTCCATAGCTGTCCCTGTAAATCCAGAGCTACTGCCCTGTAAAACCTTAGTGTGTCCAGAACAGCGTGTGGAACACCCATTTCTTAATGGGGAATGTGTAAACCTCTTCTTTTTTCCCTCATGCTAACCCAAAAATAAGAGAGCTGCACAGTCACAACCAGGACATGCCCAGACCAGCGCAGTCCTGAGGCTCTCATTCTATGGCTTGTAGACACATGCTCTAGTCTCATCAACTGGGACAAAAAAGTTAGTGAGAAAGGATATTTGCAAAGGAGGAAGAGCCTTTTTCTTGTAAAATAAAAATTATCCTTACCCAATCCCTTCATGGCCTTACGAAGGGCTTCTGCATCAGCTCTGGCATCAAAAGGAGCGAAGGCTGTCACGGTGCCTCTCATGTACTGAGGGAGAGAGGGAAAAAGCCATGAAATAGAAACATTGCGTCTTTCAGTTCATAAACGAGCTCAAGCTAAACTTGAATTCACGACCCAAAAGCTGACTGTATTTCTCTTGCAATTATCTGGTTAAAGAGTAGTCTGTGGGTGTTTAAACACAGCTCACTCCAGAGGCACTACTATGGCTTCCCTTAGCAGTGCAGCTAAATTTGGGTGTATTTATGTACCAATTCTGCAAACTACTATTATCTCCAACACTGAAACCTGAATGCAGGGAAATGACTAAGAAGTTATCATTTGCTAAAGTAATTTGAAAAATTAATTGCACAGATCATGTATGCTAGGCAAATGGCACAAAGACACACTATGGAAATAAGAACTCCTCAAGAAAACCCTACTGGAACTCTCAAGCAGTATCACACCAATTTTTTCCACTACCCTGCAAATGAAATCCACTGAACTCTACAATGGCTTTCAACTTTTCATCATAGTTCTTTTGACATGAGCAACTTCCTAAAAAGTGATTCAGCTACATTAGTTTCCAGCTAAAAAAAAACAACAACAACAACAAAAAAAACAGTTCAAACATAAGGGCAAGAGATCAGTTTCTCAAAAAAAACAAAAATAATTCCACTAAGTTTCCATGGAACATGGCTCTTGAGGGAATTTCTCTTTGGATTAAACACAAAAGGCCATTCATCATCTCTGTGGAAATGTTTTGCCTTTATTTAAACAGGATACCTCAAGAACCTATATGTGTTTGGCACAGTAGTTAATTTGTTAACTATGGAAGTGGCCGAAAGGGGAAACAGTTAGGTTTGGGGAACAAGAAGGTGTTTCCAACAGCTGAAGAGGGGAAATTTCCTGTAAGCACTGTCATAAAAACAGCAATCAGAACAGGCAGGGCATTTTCCACTCTCAAGAAACAGCACAATAGCAAGTGCCAAGACACCTACTGAGACTGGCACCAGATTACTCCAGAGGCAGCACAGCCACCTGGCCTTCCCTGGAGTTAGGAATTTCAGCCACTCCAGTCTCCAGTCAATGCACTCAGAGACAGGTCAGCCAGAAGGGCAGGGAGAAAAGAGCAGTAACCAGAAACTGCCCCAGGGCTCCCGTGTGCTCCTGCCAGCAGAGACTCCCCATGGCTCCCACTGCGGCAGCAGCAGCCAGGAGTCAGCTTCACTTCTCATGTATTCAGACAGATCAGAACAAAAGCGTCAGAGTGTTAAATGGCAACAACAAATTTCTTTTTGGGAGATGGCTTCCAATAACCAGGATAACTCAGAGGCATGACAATCCCACTGAAACACTCTGCTTGTCCCATAATAAGCCATTTTTTTCAGGTAGTACGTAGAATGTATTTATTGTCATCTTCCTAGCTAATTCCAGAGGTTACCATGAAAATCTCAAGGATTTGGGACTCACTTTTATGAACTGAATTTAATTTGGTAAAACAGATAAAGATTGCAAAGTCTTTACCGCCTCTTCCCTTACTATCACTCCGGACAGAGTGGGGTTATTTATTTTATTTTTGCTCCATATCATCTCAGATAATTACTATTACAGAAGTACCACAATTCTCCTTTGGAAATGACCAATGTCAACAAATCTCAGCAGAAGCAGATATTGATATTTTGCTTTCTTTTGCTTATCTTGTTATAAGCAAGCAGAATTCCCCTTCACAATTCCTAAGTCTTGTGATAACAGCCCAACATTCCTGTGTGGCTGTTATAGACAAAGTATGAACACTAAATGCCACATGAAATCTCTCTGCACGGCCCTTCTCATTTTTGTTAACTGACAGGAATCCTTCAAAACTCTCTTTTCCAAAGCACTGCACAGAAAGTCCGAACATGCAGTAAGCTTGATGAGCAGTTCCTGAAAATCTCCTGGTGCAGCTGAAGCCCAAAAGACTTTTCCTGAAGTCTGAGCACCATTTGCATTCCAGACATTCCCTTGTGGCACACAGCACTCCCCACCTGCCACGATCACCCTCCACCAGAACCTGAGCCACACCTACCTTTAGGAGCCACATGTGGGCAGATGTGACACTCCCAATACTTGACCCAATACTGGGAAAGGCTGAAGCCATCCTTAACTTCACATCAGGACCCAACTCAACCTAGTGCTTTTTAGAGTACTGCAGTGTGCCCTGACAATTGGGGTCCAGCAGGGAATACTCAGGCACACTGTGTTCAACAACCATAACTCCATCTAAAACACTCCACTATTCCCAAGTGCCCTTTTAGTTATTCCAGTTCAGATTTCTCTTTTGTGAAATACACAGACAAGAGCAGAAAGCTCTGCAGCAGTAAGGTACTCTCAGTCCATAGAGGGAAGAGCTGTCTCTCCCGTCCCAAACAAGGCACATTTTGGCCACAAAGAGAGGGCAGCACTGCTTCTGAACCACCATCACAGCCTGACCCAAACTTGCTGTCACAGCAAATCTGAAAACAAGCTATGAACCAAACTTCATTATTTGTTTACTTCTATGAAAAGATAACTTATCTTTAGTATTACTAGAAACATTCCTTGTTTTTCAAGTAAGCATATACACAGGAGCACTACAGCCTCATAGGTCCATTTCTCTTTGGATAGTAAGCTCTCCATCCAGTACCAGCCAAAGCACATCAATGAAAAAAACAGTCTTTGATATAAATCCTCTTGCAATCAGAAGTTATCCTTTACTCAATCACCACAGCTTACACCAGGCAGTAAAGAGAAGCACAACACAAAAAACCTCAACACAAAGTGTATCACAAGATTATAACACCCCAAACCTACACACATTCTTTTCTGTCTACATTCCCCAGTACAGTGATTGCTGTTAAGGAGTCATGTATACTGCAAATTTGTGATCACACACTAGAAATAAACATCAGCTTTCATTTTCTCCAGACACTTTCCAATGAGACCAATTAAACTCCTAGAAGCACAAAATTATCATGAAAAGTCAAAGGGAAAAAAAATAAGACTACAAAGAAAGAGATAATATTGCTTTAGAATTTATGCCCCTCCAAATGAGGGAATTCACATTATCTGGTATTTTGGTCCAATTTTATGCTAGCAAAGGTTTCCAGAAGAAGATAAAACCTCAGGTGAAATGTTTCTAACTAACACTTCAAAGTGAATGTCTCCCAAGAGGCAATTTAGCATCACAAACTAATAGTGCCACATATCCTGGCAACAGTAACAATAGCCACATAACAAGGTTCCTTTTTATTTTCCTCACCAAGACACAAAATATTTCCTGCCCAAAGCCCCTGTGTTTAGCCACTGCTACATGCAGACCATACTTGAACTGACTGAGACTCCTTCCCCACTACCATGGCTCTGTACCACACACAGTAACTTGTTCTGCTGGAGTTCCACAGATGAAGAGCCACTCCCTTTCTCTGCAGCAACAGAAACAGTGTCCCAAAAACTTGCTGCTTCAAAAACCTGGTATTTAATGTAAAAAAGTGCTGTGAGACTTTTTGTTTTTTCTTTTTTTTTTTTTTAAGCAGCCATTTGTTTACAAGATGGCACAAGAAAACTGTGGAGTGGTAAGATTGGAAATGGAGAATAATTACCAGCAAAGAGAGAAAGTATGCTATTTCCAGCAGAGGATAGCCCAGAAGGTCATGTGCTAGAATAAATGATAGATTGTTCTAAGATGTCTTATACAAGACCCATCTTGCAGATAAACACAACACAGTGTTCACTGCTGACTTGAAAGCCTTCAGAGCCATTGGAGCCCACACAGAGATGCCAGTTCAAACTGTGCTCTAAACCCAACATGACACAAGAAATATGCAATTACTTCCTGATATTTCAAGGGCAGTACAGTGCAAATGACAGTGTGAGTGGATGGGTGCAGGTGCAGAGCTGATGCAAATGCAAAACTAAAAAGACATGTCTGTAAAACACCTTGCCACGTTTAACAGTGCTTCATATCATCTGCTTAAACAGGAGGAGTAAACTCAGGTCAGCAGACTACTCACATCTGCCCCACTAATTTTAAACTCTTGAGAAAAAACAATTACACAACATCTGTGGTGAACTCTGAGTCAGTACACTACAGAGATATCAAAGACAGGGAGGAGGGATGGGAAAAAAAAGGAAGAGAGGGGGTGGGAAAGAAGCAGAGCAAGCAGCAGCCACATAGGAACCAGCGTAGAGACATTTGAGAAACCCATCCTTCACAGGTAACCTCAACAGAGCCAGAGGGGGCCGCTCAGAGCCCAGCGCTGAAGGAGTGTTTGGAATGTGAGACAGTCTTCTGGAGCACTATGGAATTGGCAATACTATCCCAGTGCTCCAAGTCACATGTGCACATTGGCAGAACAGGAACTCCAGATATAGTGCAGAGCGGCCACACCTTCAGCAGCAGCAAGCAATCCCTTCCTGGCAGTTTACAAATGGACACACCAAATACTCCTGAAGTTTTACTCAGGAAAAAAATTGGGAGTAGCAGACCAAAACAGATCAGTCCACAGCACCTGCTGCTTTCTTCCCAGAATTCTGAGCCAGCAAGCACAGGGCAGCAGTTTCCAGCCTGTTTCCTGAGCAGGAGGAGGTGATGCCCTGTGCATTGCTGCAGCAACAAAGACCACTGCACACACAGCTGGGAGAGAAAGGGCAGCTTGTCAGGGCAGCAGTGCTCCCTCAAAGAAAGCGATAAACACAAGCCGGGAGAGACCAGCCTGTGCAGCACATGCTGTAGTTTTCCTACAAAATGAATGAACCTTTCTATTCTGGACAGAGAACTCAAAGTTCCCCAGGCCTTTGGGCAAGGGATAAAAAAAGACTTCACAAAACTGGGCAAGGACAGGTACTTCAGTGACCAAGCCTCCAAATATAACTTACCTTCTTCAAAGGTTTTATTCTTCAGTGATGTACCTAGGCTAAATTGAACTCCAGTACACTGTGCAGGGCAGCCTTTGTGAACTCCACAGCTTTAGCTGTACACAAGGAGTTTCTGTCAATTGACAGCATTTTGTGGGCATTTTCACTCTTACCTCCATTTCATAATGCAATATATAGAACAGACAGCTGTCATGAGAAGTAAAGCTTCTTCAACTTTGCTTTTTTTATTTTCATAAAATGAGTTACAGGCGACAATACTTGAACACTATTGGTCTTTTGTGGCTGCCTAACTGCACAGGAAAAGAATACCACTTACATGGAAATCAGCCCTCTGAATGTGGAAATAGGAGAACAAGGCTTCCCTAACAAAAACCCTCACTGTTCCAATGACTTCCATCTGCCAACACCCACCACCGATAAAAAGTCACCCCCAAGTGTCACCTTCGGCAGTAGAAAATTTACTACCTGAAGCCAGGAGTAGCTGGTTAGCACTAGTGAGGAATGGAACATTGCTGTTAAGAAGACAAATTAAAGTTTGTCTCTGTGGGACAGACAAGAATATTGTAAATTTCCATGTTTTTTACTAAAAAGAAGTTAACCTTAAGCCTATAAGCAATGCTATACACACCGTAATAAAAGGCTTATTGTCCAAGTATATCCCTCTGGGCAGGTGTCCTGCATTGGCATGGGTAAGGGCTCATGTTCTCCTAACATGCATCCTACAATCCAGGCCTGATGTTTAGAGAAAGAAAAATCCCTTATTTGTCACTCAAAAGAACCCCCCCCCCCCAAAAAAAAAAAAAAAAAAAAAAAAAAAAAAAAAAACCCCAAAAAAAAAAAAAAAAAAAAAAAAAAAAAAAAACCAAAAAAAAATTTTAAAAAATTAAAAAATGCTGTTTAAATTTTTTTCTTTAAAAGAAGTTCCCTTGCTTTTATAACTAAATCCAGACATAATATGAGTAAATATTCACAAGGGTATTAAAACTACTAATCACTCCACTCAAGTGCAATTATTCTGACCTTTGTGAATGCTACTACAGACTGTGATCACTTTCACTTCCTACAGCAGTACAAACCCCATAAAGCCATTACAACCCCCTACAAATGAGCCATTAAACTCCTATTTTACTTTTCAGAGTGTATGCATGTGATGCAGCTATAGAAACAAATGCTGGAGTCCATCCCATTTTCCACACCTTCGTCCAGGCTCAAACCACAACAAGCAAAGGGCTGAAAAAGAAAGTCCTCAAACGAAAATCTGCACCATAGCTCCAAGGCTCCCCGAAAAACTCGTGTTAGCTGTAGGAAAACTGGGGATGGAAATATCGAGCCCCGAGCTGCCACTAGGCACTGCCACGGCGATATTTTTTTCTCCTTCCTTTCAGTGGAAGGAGCCTCCACCCACACACAATATAAACACAGGGTACCTAAAACTTGGCCAAATTAGTGCAATCTTGTGGAAAAAAGAAAAGAAAAAAGTTGTGACTGACGTGTCCCTCACATGATCCCCGTCCTCCTCACGTCCGTGTCCGCCCGGGCTTGTGGGTGGGCTGGTTTAGGGTAGCCCTTAAAGAATCGGTGAGGAGTGAAAAGAAGGAGAGGGATAATACGAGGATGTCCCCGGGAGAGGCCGGGCACGGGCCGTCGGGCCGTGTCTTCCCGGATCCGCCGCCTTCCTCACCTTCGCCATCTCTGGGATCCTCCGGGTGGGGTCGAGTCCGACTCTGCAAAGAGAGATGCGACAGTGAGGGACAGCGAGGAGCACAAAGTGAGGGACAGCGAGGAGCACAAAGTGAGGGACAGCGAGGAGCACAAAGTGACAGCGCCCGCCAGCCCCGGCTCTCACCTCCCGCCGCGCTGCCCTGAGCCACCGGGAGCACCGAGCGAGGCACGGAGCGAGGCAGGAGCGAAGAGGGAGGAGGTCCCGCTGCGGCCCCGCCGCTCTTGCCTCAGCCGGGGGCCGGGCCAGCCCCACCCTGGGCGGGCAGCGAGCCTCGGCCGCCTCCCGGGGCCATCTGCAGGCCAGGCGCCGCCGGCAGCGGCCCGGCTTTCTTCTCCATCCCTGCCCTGCCCTGCAAGGGTGGCATTAGTGCTTTGTGTCTCAGCGATCGTTAACTTTTTGAAAGAAAAAGTACATCTGCCGATAGACAGCCTCCAGCGGGTGCTCAAGCACGCTCAGGATGAAGTCTGTATAAAATCGGTTCCCATGAATCTGAAGGGGATCCTATCCCAGCACTGAATTCGGTAAAAAGCAGACATTTCATCAGCTAACCTAGTATGGCTTCCAAGTAAGCCAAGTTAGCACAACAAGCACAGTACTGAACAGAATGTTAGGGCTGTAGTTCTTGACTATCAGAAATGGCAAGGATTTCAGGGGATGACACTTTTTTACTTCATGTCTTTCAGCAGGACCATCTCCCTGGCCCAGGAATAGGGAAGATATATCCAGGTTAGGAGAGTGAGGAGAATGCAGTCTGCGGAGCTACTCAAGGAGCTGCTCCATCTAAGCTGCAGACAGACTCACTCCCTCAGCCACACAGCCTTGAGTCAGAAGAAAGGAGGAAAAGTGACTGCAATGCAAATGGAATTCACTGCCTCTGCCAAAATAAAACATGAACATAATCCCGCTGTGTGAGCACTTTAACATGCAACAGTCACTTCTGTCTGAAAGTAAGTTGCATTTACCTCACAAACAGCAAGAGAAACATAGCTCATGATGTAAATTTAAATATTTAGTCCAGCATTTCTTGTTGCCCCTGCAGCGCACATACAGTTCAGCAAAAACATGGGATCCACCCATCTGGCTTCCTCTGCTGGACCAGGGAACAAACTGTTTGCTAAAATGTCCTTATTTACTTATTCAACTCTGATTTGAATCTAATCCATTGAAGTGGTATTCCACACACGCCCAAAGGTGCATGAAGGTAATAGAGAGCTGCTCATAGCATGTATGTGGAAATGCACATATGATTAGCTGTACAACCACAATATTAAAGAAAACATTATAGAGTATTTTTTTTAAAAAGAGCAGTTGATATTCAAATTGGTTACTTCTAACTTAGGCACAACATTGCTTAGACATCTACCCCTTTCTGCAAAATTAAGTATTTTTTCCTTACACATCATGCCCAAAAGAGACACAAGGCACCCTAGATCATGCTTCAAGCTGTACCATCAAGAGAGTGCAGACATAAGGAAATGCAGTGGAAGCTAAATCCACTTTGTTTAACACACTCCAAACTTCTTTCAATCAGAATGAGGCACATGAACACTGCAGTAAAGGCTCCTCAAGTGCCACATGGAGGTCAAACCTCATTAGTGAATCAGAGATGTTATATAGAAAAAATTATTGGGTGATGTGGAAATTTTAAGAAAACTGTATCAGTATCATGTGAACATATAATGAGACTCTAGGAACTAATAAATTTGTCATCACTTTGAAATATGTTAATAGAATCTCTACTACAGTAACTATTGCACAAAGTAAGCTACTTTCCTTGACACAAAAATATTTACTAAACTTGACAAATAAAACAAACACTTGCATAACTTGAAAAAATGTGTCTGACAACTTATTTAGAAGTTAGCATGGGACCACCTGGAATGCATCTGCTCTACCTCCCTCTCCTTGCTGCAGCAAACCCCTCCCAGCACCACAATCCAAGGTTTGAATCCTTGGCTCTCTGAAATGCTGGGTATGGTTTAATCCAGGCACAATGACACACAATTGCTGCTATCCTAAAAAAATCTGTTCAAGTGTGTCATGTGTATAACAGCATATTAAGAGGCAAGGTGGAGACAGCTTGGCTTTTTATCTTTAAATTTTAGGTGAACATATTTTTCTGGATTATAGGACTTTTGTTTACTATGCCTTATTTGGCATCCTTATTACTTTATAGCAACTCTCAGATTCAAGGAAATGATCCAACATGTGTATTGAATTCTATTTTGCCCTTTAAACTTTGTGTTGTAGGCTGTGAATTTGGAATCAAATTAACATATGCCTTTTATTCTGCAGTAAATGTCTCTGTGTACACTTTGTTCCTCATTTCCAATGGTAGAAGTCTATTCTAGTCAAAATCAAAATATTTGAAATGTTTTTCCACTCTTCTACCTTCAACCAGCTCATTATTATTTGTGAACAAACATGAGGTAACATTCAGTCAATGGGAGGCTAACACTGGATTTCTAATCAGTGAATAACAAGGAAAAGAATCTTCGGAGTGAGAACACAATATTTTTCTGCTCTTGAAGGGGGGTCTGAAATGCATGATCCAAGATGAATTGCAATGGTAGGAAAAGGTTAAACAGAGAAGAGAAGGATCTTCTTGCCAGCAGATGACGCTGGGAGTAAAACCCACTCCAGTCAATCTAAAATGTTATCAATGTGTGTTTAAGCAAGGAAATATTTACATAACTTCATAAAGCAAAGAGGCTTGGGGGAGCAGGGGGAAATGTTAGAGTAAAACCTTGGGAAAGACTCACCAGGCCATTTGGAAAGAGTAGATGTTTGAAAAGAAAATAAATCTGATAATCACAGAATTTCAGCCTTTGCATCGACTTGAATGCAAAAGGGAAAGACAGGAAAAGCTCTGTGAGCAAATCCAGGATGAACCTGAAGACATTAACATGTGCCTGGAGAGAAATGCATTTTGTACTGATTGCCTTTTGCAGAAGCAATTCAAGTTAGACTAAAACAGTTGGAGATGGTGACTCACAAGCACCAGCTGCAGGACCTTCATGGCCACTGTGGGCAGGTATTTCACCTGACAGCAGCTTTAACAGTCAATAGTGCCTACCCACAAGTCACAAATAAGCCTTCTAGAATAATTATAATTTGTTTTCTCATTTTCAAAAAGTCTTTATTTTTTAAAAATAAAGACAAACTTTCACACATGTTAAGAAACCACAAGAGATCATAGCAGTCTTTCCACCTCCCCAAGCCCCTCCCTGCTCTTTGCATCTTCAATCACTTGTAAAATCATACCAGGATGTAACAGTCTGCTTCTCAGGGCTGCTGCTGGCACAGTGCACTTCCAATTCTTCTTTAACACAGTGCTGCAAACACCTGGAAAGAAAAACAGCAGTAAAATATCAGAAAAAGAGTGGCATTGCCTTAATAGAATATTTAGCTCTGACACACATTGAGACTTTGCAAGTAGGGCCCTGTCAGTTTTCAATCCATTTCAAGGCACAAGACTTGTCCATATATTGTGAAATCTGGGGTTGTAGCAGCACAAGAAGGCAAAGAGTGCATGCAGGAATTATCAGATTTGTGAAATAATTAACTTGATATGGGGTTTCTAATAAGGGGCTTGAAAATGTTTACAGAGTCTGGTTGCAGCACTAAAACACATGTGTGCATTTTTCTGGAAACAATGGAAAAGTCTAGGGAGATGAAGAATTAGCACAAAAGCAGTTCATTTCAGGAGCACAGCCCCCTGAAGTTGCTTTGAGGAGTTTGTAAAAGAGAAATAAATAGGAAGATGGATGGTTTGCTGTATCAAGGCACTCTCCCAGCAGGTCCTCACCTCCTGCCCAAAAGCATTGTGTCTCATTTTGCTACCAATGCTATTCCTGAGCTGTTATGTGACCCTACATAACTACCATTAAATGCATCACAGAAGAGAATAAAAGAGCAAGGCTCACCTTAAAGCAGAGTTTGCTCTGCTATGCATCCAGAAGCTGCTGAAAATGGAAAGGTCCTTCAATTTATCAAACAGAGGTGGAGCACAGGAATCACATTAAAGCACTTCTCACGCAAGATAGAAAGGCCAAGGCCTGTTACTGTCCTAGTTAAAATATTTCCTCCTAAAATTAAAATCCCACTGCAAAATATTTTAAAAGCCTATTCTAGAGGCACTGAAGGGCAATAGGCTTACCAAGGGAGACTTTCAGGCTTTGGAAATTTCATGGGGCAGACCATTTCCTTCTGGAATTATAACAGAAGATCAATGCTTAATGCTTTTCCACACTTTAATGTCTCTTTGGAAGTGATACAGCCCAAAATCCTTGATGAACCGCTGTCAGAAGCAAAGGTGAAGGTTGGAAAAATTGAGCAGTTTCAAGCTCATGGTTTGATTAACACTGACAGAGAGGAATCTGTTTTGTTCCAGACTTGGTGCCAGAGGATAGAAATTTTTCAGTGCCTTGTTTCCCTGAGTTCCTACTCGAGGCCAGCTCAGCACAAATGGAGAGAGCTTTGTGCTGCACTCCAGCACCTTGTGGGTGGAAGGTGTGAGGCAAACACTAAGCAGTAACACCATTAAAATAAGGGACAAGAGAGGAGAGTTTTACTGCTTTACAGGCAGGGAAAAAAAACTTCAGAGTATAACACTGATAGAAAGTTTATAAAATTCTTTCCCTGCTGCATGCGCTGGCATCAGAGGGCTGCTGAAGGACAGGCTAAGAGTACAAAGTAGAATATTTTGCTGCACTTTGAGAGTTGCTTTAGAGACTAAATGTTGTCTTATATTCCAGCAACAACAACTTCCTCTAAGTGATTCATTACTTCTAATCCACAACCCATTACAGAGCAGCACTCTGACAGAGATTTCTGTGGGGGCACCAGAACAATGTGAAGAGGTTAATGGGAGGTACAGGCATTTATACCCATTACAGCAGCAGGCAGCTGAATTCCTCTTACTGGCAAACGACTTATTTTCATTTACTCAGAGGCGGTGCGGGTTTCTTTAAAATTGTCTTTAGAGTAAGATACATCGCAAGGTTGCCATCAGTGCAGTAGTCTCAATTCAAGCAAAGACTTGAGCCAGATTCTAGTCCTTGATGCTACTCTTAGTTACTATGACAGCTCTACAGCACTATACTAAGGCAGGACTTGATTTCCAGGGTAATTCTTCCTGAGGAACACAGTTTACAGCCCTCATTACTGGTGATATGGACTCCTCCTCTGGGTAAAGGAGGGAGAAAAAGAGCCAGGTG